CAATAAGAACGTGTTACTTATATTTACTAGATAACAACACCGGTGGCAACAACGACATCAACATATCCCTGCAGGGAAACCGCAGACTGGAGAATTTCTAGTTCCGTACTAGATCTTTAGTTATTCGTCAGAACTGGTTCGAAGCTATAGAAAAAGGAATACAAAACGAACTAGATCTTATCTGCCGAATTTAAAACTTCTTCGGAACTATCGAAAAAGGGATGCAGCTGGGGGGGAGGCGGGCAATTGACACTTCCTAGGACATCGTCATGTTAAATTCGCCCGTTGTTTGCATGAAAAATAGATTTATCGCGAACCAGTACTGGGTCTAAGGCTGCGTTTCTCCAAACTCATTTAAGTGGAAGTTAACTTTAACCTAATTTTTTATTTAATTTACATTTAATTTATTTTCAGTTTCAATAAGATCTTTATTTAAGTGAGTAAAAAGTGGTTGTAAAACAGACTTGGCCAGCGAAAGCTTTCATTTGTACTGAGAACTTTTGAAAGCTTTGGCACGCTGTGTTGTAAAAGCAGGACTGGTATACAAGTAACACAAAATTGTCGTGGTGTGTGTATATTGATCAGCTGATTAAACGTGTAACATCTCTGAGTGTGGTTATTCTGATTTAATGTTTATTTAATTGAAGAGCATAGGTAACTTAAATCAAAATTTAAAACAAATTAAAATTGATTGGTGAAACCAAATATTCGAAAATTAAAGTAATTTTCACTTAGATGAATCTGGTGAAACGCAGCCTAAATGTACTAGAAGCGCACCACTTCAGAACTAAATATTTTCCCCACAGGGATTGTACGAGTATGCACATACATTCATGTATGTATAAGTATCAACGCAAAATGCTAGGTTGCCATCGAACGCTTCGTTGTCGTCGTTGTCGAACTCGTTGACAGCAAATGACGACAACTGTTGTCAGAAGGACATTTGGCATTGGCAAGTGAGCGACCGTCATAATCATTTCATTTATTGTTTTCCTTTCATTGTGCAAATATACGGTTTGTATGTACATACTACATACATATATGTTTCGGTAAACAAATCGAAACATTAGACCAAGTTAAAAAAAAAATCCTGAAATGCCACCAGACTTTGACTAAAATTTTAGTATTTCGTATAGTAATGATCCTTCGCAAGTCTCCCCGCATCAAGCATTTATTTTTCCTATAGGAATAACACGGAAAAAGACGATTTCTTCTCTTTTGATGTCAATATAATTTTCTAGAATCAATCAAAAAATACGCCATTTTAGTGTTATGCAGACTCAGATTCTTTAAATTCCTAATTTATCCTGTTTTAATCAGTTTTATTTAACTTGCCTTATTTGGGTAAAAGAAAAATTTAGGAGTCTGAGTCTAGAAATAAAATTTTAGTCAAAGTCCGGTCGCATTGCAGGATTATTTTTTTTTTCACTTGGTCTAATATGTACATACAAATATATGAGCGTTTTCTCTGATCGCATCGCTACTGTAAAGCTTATTGTCTTCCTCTGTCTTGTTTTGTTGTTGTTGTTTATTTCTGGTTATTATTGGTTATGGCACTTTATGGCCCATTTTTACACCACATTTGCATTTTTCATATCGTTATGGCTAGTACAGTATGTATGTATATAAATGTGTCCATGTATGTATATTAGGCTGCGTCAAATAAAACGAATATTTTTTTTCTTTCGCTCCCATATAAAAATTTCGTAGTCGAAAATTTTTTTTTGCTGCTACTTTTTTAATAAACAATTTTAGTATAGATAGTAATTCCAAGTTTGAGGAGGCAAATTTTTTGTTGAAGGTTTCGTTAATTTTTTTCCATATAAACAAGTCGTCGAACAAAAAAAAAATGCCAAAAATCAACAGCAAGCCCTAGCAACTTCAAACTTGCACTTAAGTATTTACATACATACAAAAAATTTTAAAAAGATACCCTACGGAACTCAAAATTTCGAAAGTTTTTTCGAGTTTTTCGAATATCATGATGTAATAAAAAAAATAGGCGTTTCTTTTCTTCGATAAAGAATGTAAAAAAATATTTTACACAAAAAAAAATTTTGCATGGAATGGCTTATATGTGTTATCTATACTAAAATTGAATTGGCTACAAGGTTGTTTTTTTTTGTTTATTATATTTAATTGTTTATTAGAAAAAAGGTAGCGAAAAAAATATTTTTATTCAAAATTTTATTTTTGGGGGCCCTAACTGAAAAATTAGGATAGAGGGCTGCAAAAAAAATTTTTTTGTGACGACAATGAAATTTTCATATGGGACCGAAAGAAAAAAAAACATACGTTTTATTTGACACAGTCTAATGTATGTATATATTTATCATATTTCCATATGACAATTTGTTGTTGCTAATGTAACGACCGTTATGTCATCGTTTGCTGTTATTGCTGCTGCCGCTGCTGCTGTCCAAAAGTACTTAATATTAATGACAGCCAATTGTATTCAAAAGCTAATGTCATTCCAACGCGATATAAACCAATGGGTCTTTTGATATTCATAGCATAGGAAGGGATAGGAAAGTATTTTTTAAATTTTCACTTCGTGCACAAATGTATGCCGGTGGAAAACTATGTGCTATAATACAGTCATGTGTAAAATATAAAGACCACAATTGATCTAGTAGATGAGTAGAGTTGAATTACAAGTAGTCGTTGTACACTGTGATTAGAATATTTTGAGTTGCATGAAAATTACCAATCCAATGAAATTTTTGAAACAAATTCAACTTTAATTCGAAAGTAATAAAAATGTTAAATTTGAAATAAGCTTTGTTTGAGATAAACTAATTGATAAAAAATATATTATTAAATGTATACTATAATGAAACTGTAGAAAACTCGTCCCCTTACATTGAAAATTTCTTTAAAGGAATATCTGAAGGTTATGCAGGGAATGTAACAAAATAAATTTGGACCAATTTTAGAATTCTTGTCTGTCTGTTCGAACTAACTTATGATTAGACAGTAATCTTGGACATACCTAACATACGGTATAAAAAAAAGGGCTCTGACAAGGAAGCGTGATACATCCCATAGGCGTAAATTTTTTAATCAGACAGCTAAACACAATGCACTGTAGTAAACTTAAGAAAGAAGAGAGTTTGCATGTAGTCGTAGCACCTCTGCACCTTAGATGGCATACGTTCAGAAACCATAACTTTGGAGCCATAAGTCATCACGTGACCCATAACTTCAATTTAATTTATTCTTCTTTCGTTACTTTAATTCAACTAATCTT